CCCCCCCCCCCCCCCCCCCCCCCCCCCCCCCCCCCCCCCCCCCCCGTCTTGCTGATAGTCACACACTTTATAAATAGTGTGCGCTTTTAATATGCGTGTGTGTCCAGTGGATAACGTCAGCGCTTTGGGAGAAAGGCTCAAGGAGTGTTTCATTATAAACCTGTACCATTAAAAAGCTGCTGGCCCGGTCTGGCTTTTGGCTCTCACGTCTCTCCTCTCTCAAGACTTTTATGAGGCCAGTTATGAACTTAAATCGATGCAGGAAACCGAGACGGAGGAGTTGGACAAGGGTAAGCAGAGCCGTGACCTCGCGGGTCAAAGGTCGTGTCGGTGATTGTTGGTGTCTGTTTGCACCGTCGCATGTTGTGTTGTTCTTTAACTTTAAGGCCGGCTTCTGCACGTACCTGTTGCTACAGCGCAGACACGTGATCGACTTCATCTGAAAGCTGGAAACCTCAAGATTAATTTGAGATGCAGTGTGTCAAGTTCTTCTAGTCATAAATATTTAATTATTATACATTAATTAAAAGAAAAGTGTGTGTGAAAGGGCTTAAAACATTATGATGGACGTCCTAAAGCTCTATTGTGTCTCATACGTTTTTGCAGCAATATTTGGGTTGATACCATTTGGGGCAAATAAGTTAACACTTTAGAATTTATAAAATTGATCAAAAATCCTTCCAAAATACCAAATTAAGACACAAAGACCTTGAAGAAAATCATAGAAAAATACATGTGTTTTGGAATCAAAGCATTTGACATTTCTAAAATGTAGTTTTGGTGATAAACTTGAATAAATCCAGTAGTTTGAAGGAGATGTTTTCACATTAATATAAAATAGATATTAGAGATGAATTATGAGCTGTTTAACTTCATAATACATCATTAAAACTACTAATATTTGCTCCCTTTTTTCTTTTGTGCTGATCTGATCCGAATCGTGAGTTTTATGATCCGTTGCACCTCTAGTTGATTAATTCATGCCTCGGGTCTAGTTTCATTTAACACGTTGAAAGTGTTCAGAAAGACGTCACTTCAATCCTCACAGCCACTTCTCATCTCAAATCCGGTGAGCTGGAGTGGAGCCAAAAAACATCTCTCCGCTGAGTTCAAAGGTCACAAGGGTCACAAGCGGCGAGGCGTGCAGGTGCTTCAGAGAGCTGCAGGAGGAAGTGAAAGAGGAGGGGGAGGGGGGGGTAGAGGAGTCTGAGAAAGAACCACAATCACGCGAGCGGCGTGTGGTTTCCAGCTTCTTGCCAAGACCTCTCACTCTCTGCGTTCCAGACTTTCTCTTCGGAGTTATCCAATCCCCCCGTCATCTCCACTCCCACTCTCGACCGCACACAAATGGTTTGAATAAGAGGTCTGCATGACTGCTCTGTGGCTGCAGATGAAATCCTGAGGAGTGATAGTTTACTTAGCCTAAATACCCCCCCGATTAGACAAATTGAAACATTGTTTTTACGCGGTGGAAACTCAAGGACCTATCGGCCGAGTCCATTCACCCCATATTCCGGAAAAGAGGCTGCAACAAAATCAACTTAAATCTCGCACCATGACCCAAAAAACTGTAAAACACAAAAATGAACTTTGCCACATAGAGAAGATTCACCGGCACACGCAACGCGGGCTTCTGTAACTACTGAAAAACATGTCCGACCACAGACGTTCCGTCTTGACTTAAGGTATGCCTCATGATGTCACATTTTCCTCTCGTTTTTTTGATCGTCTCCAGCTTAACGGGGGGGGGGGGGTTCGCAGCGATGTGCTGCTACGAATTTGATCTCAGCCTGCTCCTCTCGAAAAATAAAAGAAATCAATCAGACGTCACCTTTAATGAAGAAATAATTCTTTACTTCCGATTCCTGCAGCGTTTAAAATCAGCCAACTGTCAAACCTCCTTCCCATTAAAAGTTATCATTTGTAAGGCTATGGAGACCTTTCTCTTTTAGCTACTTAAATATTACAGCACACACACACACACACACACACTTGGTAACAATACACCAGAATGATTCCACCAGACTGGAGCTAAACAGCAGTGGAGACTCATAAAAGAGGAGCGGTAGCTGCTTCATTCTGCCAGCGGACTCCGTCTGGCCGGGCAGTCTGGTGTCAGTCGCTCAGCGGCTGGACTGAGAATTCAGATTCAGCTTCACCAACACGGTTCA